CAAGTTTCCAGCCAACAGCTACCATTAATCACTAGACATAGGAATGAAGAAGCTTTGAGATGATTCTAGCCCCAAGAAAATGAGTCATCACCAGCTTCTGAGTTGATGATGCTCCTTGGAAAAAGGGAGAGCTTTCACTGCAAATTGCAGATTTATGAACAAAATAAATTACTGTTGCTATTTTAAGCCACTTAGTTTGGGGTGGTGTGTTATGCAGCCGGAGATTACCAGGACAGGTGCTATTGTTTCATTGGAGTACATAAAGGATGCAGCTTATTTCTCTAGATTTGTTTTCTAACATTTAAATATGGGCTATTAAAAAACTTCTACCTAGTGAATGTATTTTTTTATTTTTATTTTTTGGTGAGAGGCAATGCACATAATCTATTCTTAATCTGGAGAAAAAAAATATGTATTATATCTAGAAGATATATTACAAACCAAATGTCAGAAGAAGTAAATCTTAGAGTTCTTTGTTTATTTTAGATTTTATAATATTCCCCAAATGTCAGAAGAAGTAAATCTTACTTAGAGTTCTTTGTTTATTTTAGATTTTATAATATTCATTTGAATTCTAATAGATATTATGAACATTCTCCAGGTGAAAACTTAACATTCAAAATAAGATTTATTTCTTGATTCTTACTTTAAAAAATCATTAGGGTTAGTTGAGGATATGGTATAGAATACACTGGCCAGTCATCATAACCTAATTATAATATTGTGTCAAATATGGAAATACCAAACCTTTTGTTGGGTATATTGAAAAGAAAAAAAAAACATGTATTTTTTTTCTCCTCGTTCTGTTTAGGCATTCAGTGCAGAAACTGAAATTTCCCTTGGAGCTGATTCTCATTTTGTTTTATAATCAACTCCTTTGGTGAACCCTTCCATTATGCCATTATATATCTATCACTATTCTTATGAAATTCAGGAATGCACAAAAATCATACAAATGCACATGATTCAGACTAAGATATTGTTTTCTATTCATAGTATAAATTAAATGTAACTGTGGCAGAAGTAGCCCTCTACATAATACATGGGGGATTTATTTTTTTCCTAAATCTAGTTTTTTCTGTAATCTATGTGAAAGAGGTAACCTTGAGTTTCTATTTATTGACACTGGAAAAAAAATATGAAAACAACCAGAATGTATTTGTTACACCAGAATGCACGCTATTCTTTAATTATAGTCAAAGAATGAATAAAACTTCTAAATGCTGTGAAATGCATTAGCATATCTGAGTCATGGGGTGCTAGCTGACCCTTTCAAGAATTAGACAATCTTTAGAATAGGAAAGGACAATCCACTGTCTGTTATCCTCAGAAAACCTTAATCCTGGAGTAGAATACAAAATGGTAACTAAACAAGAAAGGAAATAATTCTGAGGGTTGGGAAAAATTGGAGGAGAACTCTGAGGTATAGCAATGGGGGAGCATTAGTATTTCCAGTGAGAGAGGTGAGTTAGCAATTGAAGTGCAAGCTAGTCGGGTGCTAAGCCAAAAGTTAAACTGGTAAGAATTCTGAATTCAAACTATGGAATATTAAAGTGGTTAGCTGTTTTATTTCCATTAGGTTATCTGTTTTTACTTACTCTCTATTCAACCTTTAATGAAGTCCTGTTGGAATTATACATGGGTCTTAGTTGTGGTGGGAAAAATTAGGGAAGTTCACATTTTTCAGAACTAATTCCCCAAAACTATACAGAATCACATCGCTACATGACCATGGAGACATATCTCTTTGAGTCACCACTAGAGTTAAAATGGTAGTTTATATTCTAGTGGCACTACCAGTCTCCCTACTTTCTCTGAGTTTTTTCTTTCTGTATTCAGGGACAACAGTAAAGCATAATAACAACAATTCTACTGTGACTTACATGCCATAAAGAAGTCACAATACCTCAGGAAGGCTGGTCTATAAAGACAACAGCTGCCCTTTCTGGAAGGCTTCTGAAGAAAATGAAGGTAAACTTTGGGTATGCAATAAGTGTATGCCTTTCTGTGATATGATTTCTAAAAATATATGTATTTGGTGATTAAGATGTCCAAAGTATACTTCTCATATATATTTGCTCTTTATCCATGGTTCCTGGCTCAGAGCTCCCAAATCCCTTGGAATTTCCTTAGTGATAAGAGCAATGAGAACATCTTTTGTTGTAATATTTGGTCTTGTATTCATTTCCTGAAGTCAATTCAGACCCATAAAGGTGAAATGAGCACCTTATTTTCATAACAAGGCTCTTTCCACTACAACTTTTAGAAGCACCTGATGATGGGACCGGCTGCCAGAGAAGCCACCAGAAATAGAAAATTATAACATTCAGTCCCACTCCCCCACCCCTATTTCATCCAGGGAAGAGGGGCTGGAGGTTAAATCAATCACCAATACCCAATGGTTTAATCAATAACGCCTATGTAATAAGGCCTCCATAGATAACTCAAAAAGAAAGGGGTTAAGAGAGCTTCCAGGTTGGCAAACATGTGGAGATTTGGGGAGAGAGGTGGACCTGGAGAGGGCATAGAAACTCTGCACCCATTCCTCATACCTTCCCTATGCATCTCTTCCATCTGGTTCTTCCTGAGTCCTAGTTTATAATAAATCAGTAATCTAGTTAGTAGAGTGTTTCTCTGAGTTCTGTGAGCTACTCTAGAAGATTAATTGAACCCAAAGAGGGATTCATTGGATCCTCCCATCTACAGCAAGTCTGTCAGAAACACAGATGAAACCTGGACTTGGGAGGTGGGGGTGGGGGTGGGGTGTCTTGTGGAACTGAACTTAAACTGTGGGATCTGATGCTCTCTATCTAGATTCTAGACAGATAGTATCTGAATTGAGTGAGAGTCTAGGATACCCAGCTGGTGTTGGGAGAAGAGTTGGACATGTGAGGGAACCTGCCCACACACACCAAATTAAACACTGGAATTGGTACTAGAACCTTCAGCATTTTACCTTTCCACGGGCTACTTCTGCCCATTCCTCAAACCAAGCATAATAATACACTTGTTTTTCTAAGGTTTTACCTACTCATATACATTCCCCTCTTTAAGAGAATGGTCAGCATGACTACTGTACTATCAACAAGAATCAAGAAACCGTTTTTCTGCTTTTCTGAGGTCACCCAGCATTGTGTGTTGTCCAATCAATGGTAGGCACAGAACAAATGTTTGTTAAATGACTCAATAAAATCTACTGAACATATATTCTGTGTATAGCAAACACAGTATAAGACCTGAAAATAAAAATAAAGATTTTCCTGTCCTAACCGGTTTGGCTCAGTGGATAGAGTGTCGGCCTGTGGACTTGAAAGGTCCCAGGTTCAATTCTGGTCAAGGGCACATGCCCAGGTTGCAGGCTTGAATCCCCAGTATGGGGCGTGCAGGAGGCAGCCGATCAATGATTCTCTCTCATCATTGATGTTTCACTCTCTATCCCTCTCCCTTCCTCTCTGTAACAAATCAGTAAAATATATTTAAAAGGAAAAGATTTTTCCTTCTTTGTATACCTAAGAATATGTAGGTATAGATTTTTGGACATCAATGAACATATGATGAATCAATTAAAAATAGAATACAAATAAGTTTAAAAAAACTACACACAATAGAACTTCACACTTACAAAGCTAGTCAGTGGTTAATAGAAGTTCCAAATAAGTCACATAGACTGGGTTTTCTAATGTATTTTGTGGCAAACACATAGAATATTATAATATTTGTATGTCAGGTAATATCTCACCTTTTCAAGGGTGGACCTAAAACTCATTTTCAGCACAGTGGGAATCCCTTACTGAAGATTTATAAAAAAGGGAAATATTTGAAATAGTCTGAAACTGAAGTACTTGCCTGGGGCACAAAATTTGAAGACTCCAAACTCAATAATCAATATAAATAATATTTATTGCAGTATTTTAGAAAACCAAAATTAATGCAAAAAATCATAAGCAAAATATCAAAATTTTAAATAATGGCAAGATCCTACCCTTTCCTTGCATACCCCTATCTTACTCACCTCAACCTAATCCTAGTCCTGGTTCCAATAAAACTTTGTTTATAAAAAAAGTCAGTGGACACTTGGGTTATAGTTTGCCAATTTTTTCATATTGCATAAATATTATTTATCTAATTGCTGAGTTTTTTAGTGTCCCTTAAGTTTTGTACCTGACAACAGTGCCTCACTTGCCTCACCAGTCTCATCCTAGTTAGACTGGCCCCAAAAGATCATAAATAATGTCCTCAATATACTTTTCTACTATTTAAGCTTTTAGCACTGGATCAAAAAATGAGGAAAAGAGATTTCAACTAATGTAGACCAGGACTTGCAAAATATGGCCTGGCTTGTGGTGCAAAACCAGCCTACCATCTATTTTTATAAATAATAAATACATTTTTATGGGAACAAAGCCATAATCGTTCATTTATATATTGTCTATGCCTACTTAATGCTACAATGACAAGGCTAAGCAGTTCCAGAGACCATATGTCCCACAAACTATTAAATATTTACTACCTGGCCCTTTACAGAAAACCTTGCCAACTCTTGATGTATACCATAGAAGATGGACCCAAATTTTAAATGATATTATCTAATGTAATTCTAATGTCACATTTTAATATGAATTGCTCTTGACAAGTAGAGTCATAAATAACTTCCAGGTTAGCATGATCTTTTCTTCCATTCCCAATTTTAACTGGGACAATTTTAAATAAGTTAAAGATATGGCTTTAATTTAAAAGTCAATATATGAAACAGTAATGATCCTTCCCCATCCATAATTACTAAGATTATTGATATGATGAAGGTATTTAGGTTTGTTCACACATGTTCAGACATGGAGATACTTCATATTTATGATTCTGATATACAACATGTCCCGTGGGGAGGTTATTTTATCTTTTCTTCTGGAATCCCGAAGCCAAATAATCAATTATCAAGTCATCTAATGTGGCTGTACCTTAGAATTACTTGGGAAGATTTTTAAAAATCCCAGTATCTAGACTCTACCCAACTAAATTAAAATATAGGGTAAGGGTGGGAGAATCTAGCTCTGCAGGATTTATAAAATTAAAATTTAAGATCTTGGTAATTAATACATTGGATATAGAAGGTGAAAGAGGGGAGAGTTAAGAATTACTCTTAGGTATTTGGCTGGTCCAACTAAATGGATAAGGAGGCCTTGTTCTGGAAAGAAAACATTTAAATTAGATCAAATTTGTAAGAAAAAGCCCTGGGGGTTATGATGGACAAACTGCGTTTGAAGTCCTTTGAGTCAGCTAAGGAAATATAATATGCTTGCTGTTAGACTTAGATTTTCTATCTAAATTCTTACTGTACTTCCACACATGCACTATAAATTAATCACATAGGGATGTTTCCTGTTGCCTGGACTTGCCATGAATCTTCCTAGCAGAATGTTCTTATTACACACTTATCAAAATTCTGTTTTCAGTCCTTTAGAGATACGCTAATGGACATTTTCTGTGAGTCTGTAGCTGCCAGATATTGGGCCTGCAGCAGGTGTTTGAAATTAATCATGTACCCCCCCCCACATATACACACACATAATTAACAGTGATTTAAAATATCCTTCAAGATCAGTGGTTCTCAATCTTCCTAATGCTGCGACCCTTTAATCCAGTTCCTCATGTTGTGGTGACCCCCAACCATAAAATTATTTTTGTTGCTACTTCATAACTGTAATTTTGCCACTGTTATGAATCGTAATGTAAATATCTGATATGCAGCATGTATTCATTGTTACAAACCGAACATAACTAAAGCACAGTGATCGATCACAAAAACAATATGTAATTATATATGTGTTTTCCAATGGTCTTAGGAGACCCCTGTGAAAGGGTCGTTCGACCCCCAAAGGGGTCGCGACCCACAGGTTGAGAACCGCTGTTCTGGAAGGACTAGAAATGGCTGAATAAAACAGGTAATATAAACTGAGTCTTGAGAAATGAATACATGTTCATTACTAATGGGTGAGAAACAAAATTCTATGTCATCTGTTACTACACTATTTTAGTCAACTTACCCACCCATACCCAAGAATACATACACTAAAACCATTATTTTCTTATTACCTCTTGATATGTATTTTCTTCAAATCTCTTGACAATGAAATTATTTCTTTCCCTCACTAAATCACATGCCCCATATGTTTAGAACTTGTTTCTTCTTTTGGGTCATAATTATACACTTCATATCTGAAACAATATTCTACATAGAGTAGGCAGCCAATAAATATTCACTGAATGAACATGCTGACTAAAAGTTCTTAAACTTATGTATAATGACAAGTATTTTCTGATAAAACTAGGGAGAGTGCCAAGATAATCTGTGAAGAGAGTTTGCTCATTGGTGTTCTAGCCCACAGATGCCAGGGAAGCTGTATACAGCATCAAATTGATATTCCTAACAATAGAACCATAGTGCCTCCATGGATCCCTGTTAGGGACAAATGTGGGGGTCTAATCTATAATAATAAAAGTGTAATATGCTAATTAGACCAGACAACCTTCTGGACATCCTTCTGGATGAAGCTGTGGCTGTGAGGGCCAAGGCAAGCCGCCACGGCTGCAAGGGCCAAGGCAAGCTGCTGTGGATGCGAGGGCCGAGCCCCTTGCACAAATTTCATGCATCAGGCATCTAGTAATAAACAAAGCCCTGGCCAAAATTCAGGTTATAGTGGGTGTGTTGGATCCACAGACATTTCTCTTTCCAGTTAGCCTAGTCTCTCCATACTGGGTCTTTTGGGGTTAATTGCTGTCTAAGTGAGAAAGGCCAAATGGAAGCCAAAGCTGCCCTTTCTCAACCAAGGGATTAAATAAAAACCAATAGCACATTCCATGGAGCATGGCAAAGATGACTGCCACCCTTAAAGAGCTAATGGCGCTGTGACCATCATATCCCCCTTTTAATCAGTGTGACCCCTGAAGAAACCAGACAGATCCTGGAAGATGGCTGTAGACTACCTCAACTCAAACAAGTAGAGGTACCCCCCACTTCCAAAATCTACTTCATGCCACTTCCCTTTTACAAAAGACCTACATTAGTACCTGTTTTATGCCAAACTGAAAAAAATCTTAAGAGAATTTTCATTTTTAAGAAGAAAAGTAAAAAGTGACAATATTCAGCTTCTGCCTTCCAACAAGCCATTATAGAGGCATCGTGCATTTGAACAGCCAGGGTGGTCCTGTCAAACTCCTTCCCCAAAACTATACTCACCATGTCAGCATCAAGACACCAAAGCTTTAAACTGCATCTGTAAGCATCTATGCTTTATGTTGATTTATTTTGGGCCTCATTAGCAAGATGCATCCTAAGGTAATTCACTTTATGCTATTTCAGCTTATAAAAGGTTTCATAGAAACACTCTAATTTCAGTTAGCAGGGGAAAGCTGTATTGTTCCATTAGCATTCACTGTGCAAGATGTGCTATCTTAGCTGGAGAAGATTTGTAAGGCTGCAGGTCCATGACGTGTGGCCATTGATTTGGAAAAGTTGTTTTTATCCTATCTCAATCAGAAAATCCAATTTTCATTCGCATTGAACAAACAATATATGTGTACAATTTTTACTCGAGGGCTTTGTTAACTCTGTCTTTTGTTACAATATAGGCCAAAGGGATATGAACCATCTGGATATCCTGCAGACATTATATCAACCCATTAAATCATAGACATTATGATGATTGGTCTAAATGAAGACCAGGTGGTTAGCACACTGGAGACTTGATAAGGCACACAAGCTCCAGAACAAAATAGATAACCGCTGCAAAAATGAATATATGCTCCCTTCATAAAATTTCACATTCAGAATATTAGCAGCTAGTGGTAAGTCAGGAAATCCTCTCTTATTTAAAGACAAATTATTGCATCTATTCCTCTATAATAAAGAAGGAAGCACAAAACCTGGTAGATCTCTTTTAGGTTCTGGAGGCAACAAATTCTATATTTGGGAAAACTCTCCCAGCCCATATTCTGGGTTGCACAGTTGTCTGGACCCAAGCAAGAAACTTCTGCAATGGGAGCAGACTTTGACAAGCAGCCCTGTCTCTTGTACAACATAATCTAGATCCTATGATTTGGAGGTACAGAGTGAGGGTACAGATATCATATTCAGTTTATGGAAAGTCCAATGAAAGAATCACAATACTGGCTGAGGTTCTGAAGCAAACTCTACCTACACATCTACTCCATGAGTACCCAGCTGTAAACAGAATCCTATTAGCTTATCAGTAAATCATTTTTGCAAAAAGGTTATTTAATTCAGCTAATACAATCGAGGACAAATTTTTTTTTAACTTTAAAACTGCAGAAATTTAGCCAAAATATGAATAACTTCATCCAGTTTAGATGTCCTGGAGAAATACTTTTTTTTACAGAAAATAAATATTCATCTGTAAAAGACAAATCTATAAACTTTATGAAAAAATGCTTATAAAATTGGATTCAGAAAATGTGCTCTTTCACAATAATGAGCAAAACTGAAGCCATTAAAATGAATTCACAAATTCGACTACAGTAAAATGAAGAATCTCTATGCCATGAAAAAAGGCACTTGAAAATTATGTAGCTGTCAAAGCATATGTATCCAGAATAAAATAAAATTTTATAAATCATTAGGAAACAAAATAAACTCCATTTTTCTAAAATGACAAAAAGATTTCAATAGCACTTTAGACACAGAAAACATGAATGGCCAGTAAGCATATTAAAAGGTAATCTGTTTATAAATGATCAAGAAAATGCATATTAAGACGACAATGATATACTCTTCCACTCCACCTACTTTGACCCAAAACTAAGTCTGACATTAATAATTTTAAGAAAGGCCCTAGCCAGTTTTGCTAAGTGGATAGTGTGTTGGCCTGCGGACTGAAGGGTCCCAGGTTCCATTCCGGTCAAGGGCACATGCCCAGGTTGTGTCTTTATCCCCCGTGCGGGTGTGCAGGAGGCAACTGAGTCTCATCATTGATGTTTCTATCTCTCTTTCCCTCTCCTTTCCTCTCTGAAATCAATAAAAATGTATTTTTAAATAATAATTTTAAGGACATAAAAATGAATTTTATTCACTATTAATGTGAGTAAAATTTTTAAAATTAGCTTAGAAAACAAGTTTTCCTTTCTATTTTGCTCTTTTTTTCCCTTTGTTTACTATTTTATTTAAAAAATTAAAGCCAGGCAATAATAACACTTGCATATTGTAGAATTCAGGCACTGTGATAAATGAAAATTTTGGGGCTTATATGTGACTTCTTGATCCCTGATGAATAGCTTTTTCATTTTCATTTAAAAAAACCCATTCTACATATGGAAATACACATTTTCACATAAGCAAAGAAAGAAGAACATAACATAAAAGATTGTTCCTGCTACATGTTAGAAATACCTACACATGAATGGGCAGATATGATTTTTTTGCATGTAGAATCCAATTCTCCTTTTGGGCATAAGATAACATAACTGTTCCTGCTACATATTAGCAATACCTACACATGAATGGGCAGATGTGATTTTTTTGCATGTAGAATCCAATTCTCCTTTTGGGTCTAGTTTCTCCACACACACAAAAAAAACACACACAAAATATTCTTCCCATTAATATATGTGTCAAATTCACAATGGCCCAAATTCTTTGATGTACCTCCATTGAGTAGTGAGACCTATTCCCCTCCCCCTTGTGTCTAGGCTGGCCTCTGACTACTTTAGCAAGAGCATTGCATAGTGATGCTATGTGAGTTCCTGGGTTGGCGGTTCTTGTAATCCTGAGATTCCATGTTACATATCCAATTATACTTCAGGAGAAGCCATGGAGAGAGATGCTAAGACAATGTGGAAAAGGAAAAGAACCCAGCCAAGACAGTCTGCCAGATATCTCCAAGTTGGCAGGCAAGGTGAGTAACCCTGTCGTGGAATCCTGAATTAGCCCAACCATAAGTGGAATACCACTGAGTGACCCAGTCAACCAGACACCTCAGACTTGGTATGTCATGTGATGG